GAATTTGTAGGCTTTCTGGTGCCCCATGTTAGTTTTCCCATCCGAATGTCACCTAAGGGGGCAGGATCGCTTTGCCAATTTGACGAGTCCATGGGCCGAGCGCTCTTCGTATCGCACCAGTGGCTGGGCACTCACCACCCAGACCCATCTTTTGAGCAGCTGCTTGTGCTACAGAAAGCCCTCATGGATTTGATCTCCGGAGCTTGCAGAGTCAGCCTCCCTGCAGTCGTCGAGCTGTGGTTCGGCAGGCTCAGGCTGCCTACTGCGAGAGATTTTAACGGACAGGGCGTCTTCCTGTGGTAACTGGCTCAGTTTAGTCGTTTCAAATCTGTTTCAAATGAGCAAAACACAATCCCGTTTCTTCAGTCCTTTCAACCAGCGGCAAGGTATGATTACTTTTCCGTCCCACAGTGCGAGAAAAACAGCCAACCACGACAGATGGCAATCTCCTCCATTCCTTCCTACATCTCCCAGAGTTTCTTTTTCGTGATCTTGATTCCTGCTGTGCGACATGAAGATGGACGCATCTTGAGTTTTGAGAGTTGGGCAGAGCGTGGCTGGTGTCGCCTGGAAAGCATGGCTCGAAGCCTGTCTCGGGAGGATGGTTTCATGATCACGGTGAAGGTGGCTTCCAACCCCACCTTGACCACGGATCTTGGGGGTCTTGGCAAGGCGCCTGGCAAGGGAAGCTTCAGCATCGAAGAGGATCGAAGCAAATGTGGGCCAGTTCTCGCAAATTTGATGTGGAGCAAGTTGCACAACCTCCTGTTCCAAGGAGACTTTCACAACTATCGCTTCCTGTTGAACCTTCAAGGTCATTGCTTCAAAGGTCTTCAAACAGACCACTTTGAGAGTCTGGTGCCCAATTTTGCCGCGGAGATTGACCCATCAACTGACCCGCATGGCTTTATTGTCGCCAAGTTTCTGCATGAGAATGGCTTCAAGAGCGTACAAGAGCGGGACACGGCTGGATGGTCACCCATTTGCTATGCCGTCTTGAGGGATGACCCCTTCTTGATTGAAGCTCTGGTACGGAATAATGCTGATGTGAACGACTCCAATCGACGAGCCGAGAACGAAGCCCAGCTTCCCAAAGGTCTACCACTTCTGTCACTCGCTGGCACTTACCACAGCAACCAGGCCATGAAGGCCTTATTGCTGGCCAAGGCCAATGTGAATGCTAAAGATAGCTTTGGTGGCAACGCGCTCACTGCATCAATTGGGATGGGCAATGCGGAGGCTGTCAACATTCTGTGCAATGCCAACATCAATCCACGTGTGAAGATGGTCCCTGGAACGGGTCCGTTCAAAATTGCATGCGGGTTTGCTAATGTGCCAACGATGCAAGCGTTCATGACTCGTCTTCCAGTGACCCGGACATTGACGATGTAGGGTTCTGTGTAACATTAAGTTTGAATCTTGATTAGTTTTGATGGTTTCGCCGCTGCGTTTTCAGTCAACAATCCCACCGTTGACGCATAAAACTTTTGATTGCTTTACATATGTATAAATATGATACCCTCAAGTTGGAAGGTTCTAGAATGGGGGCCCCTTTAGGATAACAAACTTGGGTTTTAAACTGATTAAAAACAATTCTAGAACCCCCGGTCGCGGAAGCATTGTCGAACTTTGGAAGTCTGTAAAATAATTCATGATGATGTATGGTGCAGGTTTTGGTATTTGTGATCCCTAGTGCGCCGGTGGCAGAAAGCCAGTTTGATCCTCCTGTTGAAACCATGGTTTATGATCATGTACAAGGCTCGATTGCACTATGTCGCGGCAATATGGCCGAACAATGCCATATGACACAAAAACCAGAAAGGATAATATACAGATACACGGTAGAAAAAATGACAAATTCACAGTTCAGTTTGTTTCTTGATCTCTTGTGAGAACATTCCCGACTGGGGGAACTTGTGGGTTCAGCTCAGTTTTGAAGTGGTTAGTTGTACCTTTACCTTTGCATTTGCCGCAACAACGCATGGTTTTTTGAAATTGTTTTTTGCATGTTTGCATGTTTTGCCATCACTTGAGGCACACATAAAGTGGCTTTTGCATGTTGTGTCAGAAGAGGCTGTAAAATCACACGTCGGAAATGTACGTGCATTTGCTGGGGATTTGCATGCATGTGGATTGTTTGTCGATTTAATTCCGAAAGGGCGTGGGTCAAATTTTGTCTAGCTCAGCATCTCTGAAAGAGAGGGCGCTACAGGTGAAGTGAGCGGCAAATTGGTAGGTAGAAATTTTCACCAACTGGAAGAGCTGTAGTGACAGACAAATTAATTTCAGGATAAGCTAAAACTGTTTCTGCCATCTTTTGTTCCTGTACAAGTAAACCAATGCCTGTGCAACAAATGAGCATATCTAAGGTATCTAAGCACACAAATGGTCTAAAATGGTTTCTCATTGCGGTAGCTGGTACCTCACACGTTTGGCCAAGCAGGAAACCATTCCAGAACCATTCCCAAAGATAAACACCTCCAGGGGTAGGTAGACAGGTAAAACCCAGTGCCAATAAATTTCAGGGATAACACAGTCAGCTCAAACTGTTTCTGCCAACCCTTCCCAAAGACAAACACCTCCAGAGGTAGGTAGACAGGTACAACCCAGTGCCAATGAGTTTCAGGGAAAATCAAGTCAGCTAAAACTGTTTCTGCCATCTTTTGTTCTTGTACAAGTAGACCAATGCCTGTGCAACAAATGAACATATCTAAGTTACCTAAGCATACAAATGGTCTAACAGGGTTTCCCCTTGCAGTAGCTGGTACCTCACACGCTTGGCCAAGCAGGAAACCATTTCAGAACCCTTCCCAAGGATAAATCATCAAGGTGCATTGTCTAGGGTGACATCTCTATGCCATAGCTGCCCAGCTCCTCCCCAAAATATCTCAAAAGAACAAGTAAGTGCCCAGTCAGTGGTGTCTGGAGCCTCCACTTACGATCTCCATCCTGATGAATGTAGGCAAACTTACCATATTTTCAAGTGACAGCTGCCACAGCTGTAGTGCCACATACAGCTGCTTGCTAATTTTACATGTGATGATTTGTTCCTTGCTTTTCTCCTGTGACGCAAAAACACTACTGTCTTGAATATAACTGCATGTAGTAGTTTGCTGTTTTATTGAACATTTAGTTGGTTGGGCATTCTTGGATAAAATTGAACAAACAGTCGCACGGGAAATGGAATTAGACCAAAACTAAATTCATTTGAAAAGGGGCAACTTAGGGTACATTCTGAAGGCATTTGGGTTGGGGTGTACTTTAATGGTCTGGCAAGAACGGAAGCAAAGATTGCGGGCAAACACCTGGCTCGGTAGGCAGGAAATCATAAGACCATCTGTGGCCGCCACCCACTGAAAAATGCTCTGGGGTATCATAGAGTGCTCTTTTCGGTGTTTTGTTTGATTGGCCTCATGTCGATCTATTTTTGTTGGGATTCATATTTCTCATCTTTTCTGAAATGCGATGGCGTCAACAAGGATTTTTTTTAATGATTTTCAATGATTTTCTTAAGAGTGGAAGATGCAATTTGAGAACCCATTTTAGAAACCAATTTAAGAACCCAAAAACGGAATAGCAACCAAAAATTCTGGGTTCTAAGACCCCCCTTGTAGATTCCATTTTAGAACCCATTTATGGGGTCTAAAATGGTGCACAAGGGGGAGAAGCAACTTGAGAGTATTAAATATATATGTATGTATCTATCTATCTATCTATCTATCTATCTAAGCTAATCTAATCTAATCTAATCTAATCTAATCACATCTAACCTAACCTAGCCTAACCTAACCTAATCTAATCTAATCTAATCTAATCTAACCTATCTATCTATCTATCTACCTATCTATCTATCTATCTACCTATCTATCTATATCCATCTATATCTATCTATATCTATCTATATCTATCTATACCTATCTATATCTATCTTTATCTACCTATATCTATCTATCTTTCTATCTATCTATCTATCTATCTATCTGTCTATCTATCTATATCTATCTATATCTATCTATATCTATCTATATCTATCTATATCTATCTACATCTATCTACATCTATCTACATCTATCTACATCTATCTACATCTATCTATATCTATCTATATCTATCTATATCTATCTATATCTATCTATATCTATCTATATCTATCTATATCTATCTAATCTATCTATCTATCTATATCTATCTATATCTATCTATATCTATCTATATCTATCTATATTTATCTATATCTATCTATATCTATCTATCTATCTATATCTATCTATATCTATCTATATTTATCTATATCTATCTATATCTATCTATATCTATCTATATCTATCTATCTATCTATCTATCTATCTATCTATATCTATCTATCTATATCTATCTATCTATCTATATCTATCTATCTATCTATATCTATCTATATCTATCTATATCTAGCTATATCTATCTATATCTATCTATATCTATCTATATCTATCTATATCTATCTATATCTATCTATATCTATCTATATCTATCTATATCTATCTATATCTATCTATCTCTATCTATCTATCTATAGCTATGTAGAACTGCACATATATATATATGATCCCTGTTTACAGAGCTTTGACGGCAACGACAGCAACCGACCCATGCCGTCTTGTGTCAAGGTGTTCAAGTGGGATGGAGCAGACAGCCTGTTGGGCTGCACTCGCCTTTTGTAGCGGGTGGGTTGCTAGGGAGTTTTTCGTTAGTAAACCACCAGCTGCAGAGCCTCCTGCCTGTACCTGCAATTGCCACTGGCAGGGTAAATCCACGGAGGTCACTTGGAATCCACCTTACAGTGTCCTGATCCTCTTGGCTTTGGTTGGGTTTGGATTGATCTTTTCCCAGACTGCGTTGGCCTTCAAGATCAGCTACCAGGACGATCGCACTGGCGAGGACCGATCCCTGTCAGTGGCAGTTAAAGGTAAATCCAAGGGGGTGTTTGGGGCGAAGGGTCTGCAGTTGCGTGGTTGATCGCCATGGCGTTCACCCCAGGTAGCATTTGCTACTTGGATTACGGTGAGGCTCCACCGTGCATCCATACTAGACTAGTCCTTGCAGCTTTGGATGATCCGAATGCACCTGGCGATTTCGTAGTCTGCAGTCCAGATTTGGACATCTTTGTAGAACAATTAGAAGCTGGAAATGTCGATCTCACTGGTTTTTTTCCTGGTGTGGCCAATGGTATGCCACCTCCGGGAGTGAACCCAGCGCATATCTATGGGTTCCAGCCTATGAGGCCTGCTGACTACGCAAGATTGCTGGAAGCCGGAAGAAACGAAGCAAGTCGCGAGCGAGTTGCTCGAGGGTTGCCCCCTGTTGCAGTTGCTGTTGCTGGGCTTCCTGTTGCTGCTCCCGATGCTGGAACTCAAGTGTGGATCCTCGCTGAGTATGTTGAGGGAAGGAAAATAGGTGAACGTTTGATACCACCAGCGGGGCACCCGAAAAGTGGGCCTTGGGGTCTGATGGACGTTGTAGACAAGAACAATGTGAGCAAGCCATGTTTGATCCATCACATTCTGGAGACAGACATCCCTGCGTTCTGTGAGGAGCGTGTCCGGCTTGCACGCCTGACTGAGACCACAGAGGGCGATGATCGCCTGGCAGGAGAAGACGTCAGGACCCTGGAAGTGAGATATGGAATGAACGGTGAAAGGCTTCGCAATTTCAGAGAAAGCATCAATGAGGTTCAAGTTTGTGAGTTTGAGGACTTTCCGTTTGAGCCACGTACGGCCCTCGACTATGCCAAGGCCATAGCAAGCATTGCCGAGTCTGCCACGGCTCAGCATCACCTGTGGATTGGCGCATCTCGTATCCCGGAAGGGGACCGAAGTGTGTATGAGGACGAGGTGTTAGCTCGTGTGTTGGACCTCGCAGTGACGTATGACAGTCTGAACATTGGGAACCTAGCTTGCATGGAGCTGGTATGCCGCAGAAGGCAGTTGATCTCGGATGCTCACTCCAGCAGCCCTGGTGCGCCCAGCTATACAGGAGCGGAAGACTACCTGGGACAGACCTACAAGCATGGTGGAGGCATCGTTGTCCCAGCCCTCACAGACTTTGTGTCAAAGAAGATGCAGGCCCAGTCCCAAATTTTGAAGGAGCGACGAAAATTGGCTGAGGCTAAGATCACCAAGAAGGGAAACCCCAATCCAAAGGCTGCCCCGAAGGCAGGGGCAGCCTCAAGCTCATGAAGATGAGTCCGGGCCCGGGTGTTGCTGCATCGCCCAAGGGTCCCTTCAGGAGAATGCAGCGTGCAAACTGGAGCAGCTCGGTTTTTCACAAACCCACGGGAGATGGACGTAAACGAGATGCCTTTCCTTTGCCAACTCTTGAATTAGAGTCTGCGCCTCGTGGGCAAGTGTGCCGATCGGTTGCCCAGCGAATTCAGTCTCGTCGGGCTGTCACTTTTGAGGTGAACAAGTCCATCAATGCCTTGAATTCATTATTTTTTGGTGGTAATGGGCCTAGCCACGGGTCAACGGTTTCTTCACTGTGTCGCTTGCCTTCTAATCAGAGAGCGGCCATCGGAGATATCATTGATTCTGTGAAGCGGTTTGGTCCAAACCCCACTGGTGCAACTGGCTCAGAAGCCCTAGGGGCGCTTCGAGCGGCCTCGTCTGGATATGATGATGCTGCACTAGGCGTTGGTGATGTGGTGCCCCTCAACCTTGATCATCTCTCTCTGCCGGAAGGCTTGAAGTCAGGGGTGGATTTGTTGGGGGCGCTGGATGACAGTGTTCGTTGTGTTGTGGAGGATTTTGAGGAGCACATGTTGCAGGATGCTGATGTTTGGACATGGATCTCCAGAAATGCTCAAAAGCTAGTCCCTTATGACGACCCATCGCTTCGATCGAAAGGCAAGTACCTGGAGTTCCTGCGAGAGTTGCACGACCGTGGAATTCTTGGCTTCACTCAGGACTGCCGCGGAAGGGTTGGAGCTTTCACGGTTTCTAAGAAACCCAAAGAGCTTAATGGTGTTGTTAAACCCCGTCAACGTCTGGTGCTTGATTGTAGGCAAACTAACATGATGTTTAGACCATCCCCTCACACTCAGCTTGGGTCCCTGGCTTCTCTGTGCGACTTGGAGCTTGACGATGATCAAAATCTTTACATGGCTGGTGCGGATATCCAAGATTGCTTTTATGCGGTTAGGCTTCCGGCTGGGTTCGAACAGTTTTTTGTTCTTCGTGAAGATTTGACATTTGATGAGGCTAATTGGGTCACGCGATTATGGGAGTGTTTGTGCAAGCATGCGTCGGTTTTGTCCAGCCATTGTGGTATTACCTATGGGCTTCTCGTGGTCTTTTTATTTGGTTCAGCATATTCATGAGCAGTCAGTGTTGCGGAGCCTGCAAATTCCGCGGGATAACATCATATTGGAGGGACAGCCAGCACCGACAGTCAGAGACAGCGAAGTCTTGAGCATGCCCTATTGCGACAATATTCACACACTCTGCACAGATCCAGATATTTGCAACAGTAGCAAGTGTTTGATTTCCCGTGACTTGGAGGAGCTGGGCTTCCAGCTACATGAGGATGAGCCAGCATCCACTCTTTTCGAGACTTTGGGAGGAGTGGTTGATGGGTCCAGGGGAGAGGTGAGGGCCACAGCGCAACGTGCATGGCGAATCAAATTGGCCTTTGAACATGTTCTCACTATTCCTGTTTCTGGCAAGACTATTCAGAAGCTGCTAGGTCATGCAATGTTCTTGTGTGTTCTCAATCGTTGTGGTATGAGTATTTTTCGATCTCTTTACGATTTTGTTGAACGACATTCAGAGGCTGGTGGTAAGTATTGGCTACAAGGTAGAGAGGTTGAAGAGTGCAAGGTTTTTTCTGGCCTTATTCCATTGCTTTACAGTAGTTTGCGGAGGCATTGGAGCCCAACAGTCACTTGTACCGATGCTTCGCCTGCTGGCTATGGGGTTTGTGAGACAGTTTTGGACCCCAAAGATGTCAGCGACATTGGCAGGTGGCACGAGAAGTGGCGCTTCAAGCGGCTGAAGCCGGAGCATTGGAATCCTAGGAGACGAGCAGGGGGGCTGGATGTGTTGGGGGATCCCTCTTCTGTTTTGGGGGTCGATGAGGAGGAGCGTCTTTTAGATCAATATGTGGTTGATAAGGACTTCCCTGAAGTTAACCCAATTTTTTTGGATCCCAACGGGTGGCAGACAAAGTTGATGGGCAAATGGAACAACACCACTGAGCACATTACAATCAAGGAAGGGCGGGCTCTGGTTCTGGCTTTTAGGCGGCTTTGTAGGGCTGGTCATTCCAGAGGAAAGAGGCATCTTTTTCTTTGTGACAATCTTTCATTGGTTTTTGCAGCAAACAAGGGTAGGGCACACAGCTATGACATGCTTCGCATTACACAGCAGTTGAGCGCACTGTCCCTAGCCGGTGGTTTCAGCTATAGGGTGAGATGGATTCCATCAGAGCACAATACCGCTGATGGCCCCTCGCGCGGGCAAGTCCGTGCGGGTTCTTTCCAACCCTTCCCATGTGGCACCACTGAAGCGGAGGGGGCCTGCGAGATTGTTGAGCAGCCCACCGCCGCAGATGAGCTTCCCAATGAAACACGTTGTGAAGACTTGCGAGAAGAAGAAGGCCAAACCGGCCACTCGAGTGATGAGGAGCGCAAGCGTGAAGTCGAGACCACCACCTCGTCGAAGGGTCGAGAGGCTCCCACTGCGACTGGAGACAGATGTGGGGCGCCGGGCTCAAACTGGCAGGATGACTATTCTGGAAGAAAGGTCAGTCAGTGCCGAGGTCCAGCACCAGTACCACAAGTATTTCGCAATGTTCGAGAATTTCTGCCAAACTTCAGGAATAAGCTGGCCCCCAGGAGACCAGGTAGACCTCGCCCTAGCGGACTTCCTAGACGTGATGTTCGTGGAGGGCCGGTCAGCCAACGAGGGGGAGAAGGTCGTGGCATCAGTGGAATACCATTTGCTGGAGTCAAAGGGTACTCTGGCGCACAGCCGTCGGGCCTTGAGGGGTTGGCGCAAAGAGAAGCCGCCTCAGAGCAGGCTGCCTCTTCCTGCATTGTTGGCAGAGGGCATGGCAATGGTACTATTAGGTCAAGGGAGGCGACTCAAAGCAATCAAGCTGCTGGTGGATCACGACACGTATCTGCGTCCTGGAGAATCCATAGATCTCAGAGGAAAGGACCTGGTTGTTCCCATCATGGGTGGCGGTCAGCAGTATCGTCACTACAACCTCGTGGTGAGGGACGCCGAGGCTGGAAAGCCAGACAAGGTGGGAGTGTACGACAACAATGTGCCTTTCAACACACCGGGCAAGGAATACCTCGGGCAGATCCTGCATCAGCACGTGGCTCAGTTGAACAAACCAGAGGACAAGATCTACAACTTCAGCTCTGCAGACTTTCGAAAAGATTTTGCGGAGGCTGGAAAGATTTTAGGCATTTCAGGGCTGCACCCATATCAGCTTCGTCACGGAGGGGCAGCCGAGCAGCTGCATTCAGGTGTGAGGGACCATGCGGCCGTGAAGGCACGGGGTCGCTGGCACACCGACCAGTCTGTGAGACGCTACACCAAGACAGGGAAGATTCAGCAGCTCCTCTCCAAGTTGTCACCCGTCAGCTTGGAGTTCTGTCGGTGGTCGAAGCGAAACATGGAACAGGTCCTGAGGGGAAGTATCCGTCCTCGAGTGCCTCTTTAGATCTGGGATGGGAAGATGTTCTCAGTCTGGAAGTGTTGCCAAAACATTTCTGCCTGGAAATTTTTGCTGGCACGGCACGGATCACATCGGCTCTACTACGTAGGGGATTGAGGGCTTTTCCGATTGATATTTGTTTACATCAGTCTCACAACCTTTTGGATGTGCATGTGGAACATCGTATCATTCACCTTTTGGAGAGTGGTCGGGTACAGTTCTTATGGCTAGGTATGCCTTGCACTTCCTTTTCAGTGGCGCGCAAAAACGATGGTGTGGGTCCTGGACCATTGCGCAACGACGACAATTTGTTTGGGTTCAAATCATTGGGTGGCAAAAATTTACAGAAGGTTCAGGATGGTAACAATTTACTAAGGTTATCGCTACGGCTCCTTGCAGTTTGTGAACAACATGGCATTCCCTATGCATTGGAGAACCCTATGTCTAGTTTTGCTTGGAAGATGCCCAACATGAAGAAGTTTATCGCTCAATTTCGTCCTCAACTTATACATCTCGATTATTGCTGTTTTGGTGAAATGTGGAGAAAACCTACAACACTGATGGGTAACTTTTGGAATATGGCAACCTTAGCCCTGCGATGTCGATCATCCAGCAATATCTGTTCTAATACCCTGCAACCCCACGTGCGGCTCACAGGAGTTGACGACAATGGTGTCTTCATGACCCTGAAGGCTCAGCCGTATCCTTTGGAGTTTTGTAAAACAGTCGCCAACCTGATCACCATGGCCAATTGACACGCAATGGGATATGGGAGATATCACTGACATCACTTTTGAACACACCAGCCACAACCTGCCTTTGAAGAAGTGTGTGTCGTTGCTGGTGGCTATCACCACCTTTTTTGCGTTTGTGGCACTTCAAGGAAGTGCATATCAACTTGCAGGATGTCCCTGCATCTGGCAAAAAAGGTGCGAGAGTGAAGAGTCATGATCCCTGTTTACAGAGCTTTGACGGCAACGACAGCAACCGACCCATGCCGTCTTGTGTCAAGGTGTTCAAGTGGGCCACCTCCAACCCCACCACCACATCGGAGATATCACTGACATCACTTTTGAACACACCAGCCACAACCTGCCTTTGAAGAAGTGCGTGTCGTTGCTGGTGGCTATCACCACCTTTTTTGCGTTTGTGGCACTTCAAGGAAGTGCATATCAACTTGCAGGATGTCCCTGCATCTGGCAAAAAAGGTGCGAGAGTGAAGAGTCATATATATATATATTCTTTATTTTATTTATTTTGTCTATACTTGTATATATATATAGTTTAGGTTGGATGGGGTGCTTGGAATTGTGCGTAAGGCCAATGTGAACCTGCGATTCTCTCTTCACTTTGGCCTCATTTTCTATGCCAACATCGACACGGTCTCGCTTTTGATGAAGGCATCGGCAGACATCAATGAACAATTGGAAGTTCCCATGAAGAAAACCGGCTGGTGGATGTTGCTGAAGTTGTTGAGTTTACGCCACACGGTGAGTCCGTCAGCTTTGACCTATTTGGCCTATCACCATTCTGGGGCAACTCCACTGATGTTGAGCATCATCACAGGCAAGTTTGATTGTGCATCTCTTCTCTTGGCGGCTGGCGCGCGCGTGGACCTCAAGAACAGACGGGGAAAGACTGCCGTTGACATCGCCCAAGAGACTCGCGCGCCTATTTCTTTGACAAGACCACCTGCTGATGGGACCGACTCAGTGGAATCGTACCAGTCTGATCCTCTTGTCAGTTGTTCATTTTGATCCTGCAGACTTATTCGCAGCATGTTGACATGACATGAAGATTGATGTAACACATCATTATAACCGCAGCGACCATAATTTGTACAATATATATATATACATACATATCATATATGATTATATATATATATATATATATATATATTAAGCATATATGCTCTGAATCTGCGAGCCGACAGTTTTATGTTTCACGAAGTGAATTCGGTAGGCTCACTCTGCAATCCGGCTGTTTTATGTGTCACCACGTGTCAGCAGATATCCGTGGGCATCAGTTATTAGTCTTGCTTCTAATCAGTATGTATTCTGCGAGGTAACACATTTTTTTGCTTTGATTTCGAGATCTCTACCTACTTTTTTCTCAGAAGGAAGTGCATTGTTGAAAAGCCAAAAGCGAGAAAACATGTGATTTGATCAAATTTGGCGGTTCCAACATCAATACCCAAATCAATAGCGAAATCATTATAAAAAAACGCTATTAATCCACAGCCTTTGGAAGTGACAGTTTGTTCATGAGGAAGTGACAGTTGAGATGTGGACATGATGTAATTATAAACATGCATGTAATTATACACATGAATGTAATCATAAACATGATGTCACATTTCAGTGGCAACTAGGTAGTACATCTCACATGACTTCACACACTAAAGCGTGAAAAATAAAACACACATGAACACATATACCTACACAACATAACATCAATAGAAATGTAACATACCATGAAACCACCAAACACCATAGTTATGAAGACCTGGGCCTTCCCTGGAAACCTCTGACATTAGGAAACTCTTGAACTAGCAAGCAGGTTGTGTATACAAATATAATATATATATATATATATATGTATGTGGATTCTGGAAATCAAGGAGCTAAATTTAAAAACAACTAAGTCACACTTGAATATGTTGGTGGGTTTTGCATTTGTTTTGTGAGATACGCAGGGTAAATGGGGAATGCCAAGATGATGGGAAAATACCTTACCCTCCCCAAGGACCTCTTGACAATTTATGCTCATATGAAAAAGATCGATTTGCTATGCAAAAATCCTGGATTTCAGGATTCACCCACTGCCATGTCAAGGACATGCAACATTGCATTAAAAGCCCCCGTAGAAACCTCATACAGTGCATTAGCAGGTTTATCTTGTTTTGTTAAACTACTTCCTGTAGCAATAGTAAAACAAATCCTGGTTTGGCAATCTGTATTTTTGTCATGATTTATTTCATACTAGTTTATATTAGATAATTAGCTTATGTTAGGGCACTGAAATGTTTTTTACATAAAATAAGTAAAAACATGCGCCAAAATCAAAGTGAATTTTGATTGAAGGTTACCTTGGTAGAAAGGGGCCCCCTAGGTACCAAAGGTCTGATCAAATTAGACCCCCTAACAATTTGAGTTGCATCAGTTCAAGTAGCTTCCATTGTTAGTACCCTCCAGAAAAAGCAGAGTCTGGTAGAAAGGGGACCCCTATCTACCAGAGATACACTCTTGAAATGGCTCCCCATGTTCTGGTTGATTTGTGCACGATAAGGTCAGGATGCACGAATTATCCAAATGCAATCGAGCGCACAAGAGTTAGAACGTAAATGAACAGTCAGTAGATATGCAAAACTGAGGTCCAGGCTCCTCTGGGCCAACAAGGGGTCTAGGACACCTGAGAAGGAACACTGTCTCAAAAATATCATTGAGACTCTTTGCCACCTTCCCTGGAAATCTCTGACATTGGGAAACTCTTGAATTAGCAAGCAGGTTTTGTACCAGAACCCAAGGAGCTGAAATCAAAAAGAGCTAAGTCAAGATGGAATGCACTCTTGGACATTTTTGGTGACTGTAGTAAGATTACAAGGTGGCTATACGGGATAAATGGGGAATGCTAGAATGGTGAAATAAAACCTCGCTCTTCCCAACATAACATATCTAATGTTTTTATGAAATGCTAGTTTTTTTTTGTCTTCATACGCTACTTTCACATGAAGGAAGTCCTGGGTTCCAGGACTCACCCACTTTGATAGGAAATGCCTTTAGGCACTGAAAGCTAGGGTCCAGACTCCTGCGCACAAGTAAAAGTGATCCCCTCCCCTCAAACCGCCTTGCAACATTACAGATCACATTCTGTAATTTGATTTTTTTTCATAACAAATTACTTTACTTCGAGTTATCCCCACCATGACATTTATACATTTTGTTACTGGCAAATCTTCTGATTTACCTTCTGGCACTTTATCTGGCATATCTTCTGGCATTCTATCTGGCACACCTTCTGGCATTCTATCTGGCATATCTTCTGGCATTTTATCTGGCATATCTTCTGGCATTCTATCTGGCATATCTTCTGGCATTCTATCTGGCATATCTTCTGGCATTCTATCTGGCACATCTTCTGGCATTCTATCTGACATTCTATCTGGCATATCTTCTGTCATTCTATCTGGCCGTTGAGGTCCAGCGGTGCACACTGCGCTGGGAAGGTCCCAGGTTGAGGTGCAGCGGTGCACACTGAGCTGGGCAGGTCCCAGGTTGAGGTCCAGCGGTGCACACTGAGCTCGGAAGGTCCCGAGGTCGAGCGGTGCACACTGAGCTGGGCAGGTCCCAGGTTGAGGTCCAGCGGTGCACACTGAGCTGGGAAGGTCCCAGGTTGAGGTCCAGCAGTGCACACTGAGCTGGGAAGGTCCCAGGTTGAGGTCCAGCAGTGCGCACTGAGCTGGGAAGGTGGCGAAGAGCTTGGCGAAGAGTTGGCAAGGCGGAAGTTGAGGTGGAAGTTGCTGTAAACATGGTCGAGGAGAAACTGGGGGAGGAGGCGAGGAGGAGGAAGAGGAGGAGGAGGACAGCTAGCCGAGGAGGAGAACAACTCTGATAAAATCTAACAACCCTCACCTGGCAGGTGGGGAAAAACTTGATTCCAGCACTTGACAGCTTCATAGTGATCTCATGCACAGTTGTGTGCACTCTTGGTGAACAAATCGTTTTTAGATTAAAAACCCAAAACTGAACAATACAAAACTGAGGACCATGCTCCTGTGCTCAAGCAATGTCTCTGCCCACTCCCCTTCCCTCCAAAACACAGTACAGAAGGAACCTCTTGAAATGACTGGACGCTTTATCCAAACAGTGTCTACATTATGCAAATTATGAACTTCAAATGCAAGTGAGTGCACGAGAGTTAGAACGTAATTGAATGCATCATTCCTTTTCCAATCTTGCAGTAGATACTGAAAAACTGAGATCCAGGCTCCTGTGAGCAAGCAAGGTGCCCAGGACACAGGAGAATGCACATTGCCTAAAAGAAAAACATAGTTTTCATTGAGACTCTTTGCCTAACCAGGATTTGTTTTACTATTGCTACAGGAAGTAGTTTACAAAAACAAAATAAACCTGCTAATGCACTGTATGAGGTTTCCAAGGCGGCTTTCAATGCAATTTTGCATGTCCTTGACATGGCAGTGGGTGAATCCTGAAATCCAGGATTTTTGCATAGCAAACCGTTCTTTTTTCATATGAGCATAAATTGTCAAGGGGTCCTTGGGGAGGGTAAGGTATTTTCCCATCATCTTGGCATTCCCCATTTACCCTGGGTATCTCACAAAACAAATGCAAAACCCACCAACATATTCAAGTGTGACTTAGTTGTTTTTAAATTTAGCTCCTTGATTTCCAGAATCCACATACATATATATATATATTATATTTGTATACACAACCTGCTTGCTAGTTCAAGAGCTTCCTAATGTCAGAGGTTTCCAGGGAAGGTCCAGGACTCCATAACTATGATATTTGGTGGTTTCATGGTATGCTACATTTCTATTGATGTTATGTTGTGTAGGTATATGTGTTCATGTGTGTTTTATTTTTCATGCATGAGTGTGTGAAGTCATGTGAGATGTATTACCTAGTTGCCACTGAAATGTGACATCATGTTTATGATTACATACATGTTTATAATTACATGCATGTTTATAATTACACCATGTCCACATCTCAACTGTTACTTATAATTACATCATGTCCACATCTCAACTGTCACTTCCTGGAAACCAGGACCAACAAGAACAAAATCAAAACCAACAACCATGTCCTTGAAACCAGAACCAATAGCTAGATTATCCTGTAAAACAGGACCACCATCAAAAACACTAACTAACAACCGTGTCCCGGAAACCAGGACCAACAACAACAACAACAACCATGTCCTGGAAACCAGGACCAACAACAACAACAACCATGTCCTGGAAACCAGGACCAACAACAACCATGTCCTGGAAACCAGGACCAACAACAACAACCATGTCCTGGAAACCAGGACCGGGAACAACAACAACCATGTCCTGGAAACCAGGACCAACAACAACAACCGTGTCCTGGAAATCAGGACCAACAACAACAACCATGTCCTGGAAACCAGGACCAACAACAACCATGTCCTGGAAGCCAGGACCAACAACAACAACCAGTGAGACTACCCTGTAAAACAGGAACACCAACAACAAGAACAACAACAATGTCCTGGAAACCAGGACCAACAACAACAACCATGTCCTGGAAACCAGGACCAACAACAACAACCATGTCCTGGAAACCAGGACGATCAACAACAATCATGTTCTGGAAACCAGGACCAACAACAACAACCGTGTCCTGGAAACCAGGACCAACAACAACCATGTCCTGGAAGCCAGGACGAACAACAACAACCATGTCCTGGAAGCCAGGACCAACAACAACCATGTCCTGGAAACCAGGACCAAAAACAACAACCGTGTCCTGGAAACCAGGACCAACAACAACAACCGCGTCCTGGAAACCAGGACCAACAACAACAACCATGTCCTGGAAACCAGGACCAACAACAACAACCATGTCCTGGAAACCAGGACCAACAACAACAACCATGTCCTGGAAACCAGGACCAACAACAACAACAACCATGTCCTGGAAACCAGGACGATCAACAACAATCATGTTCTGGAAACCAGGACCAACAACAACAACCGTGTCCTGGA